ATATAAAACTATGTGACGAAAATATTAACGAGCTCGTTTGACCCTATTATCTTTGCGTTACGTAAAAATAGACCAGTATCATTGAGGGAAAGGAAAATAATTGTCGCTATTGATGCTATACTTCTTGCAGAATTTCTATTACTTCCAATAACAAACTATTCAGGATAAAAAGAAAATTATCACGATTATTATTTTTCTTTTCTTTATGAAAATCAATTATTTCTCGTTTCTTTTTTTACAATGAATTATATTTTACTGGAAAGAAGTGATCTCCATCGACGAGAGTCGCTATAAAGTCGTATATAAATACCTCGTTTGCCATGATCGCTGTTTGATCCATGATAACGCTAGATCAAAGGCTGTAGATCCTTGTGTGTACGCATTATTTAGCGTTACTATCGCCACTGAAGCGCAGCTTCGCATGAATTTCACTTGTGATTTTCATCGTAGTGCTGAATCCGTGAAAATTAGATGCTAGCCCCCTTCTTCCTGCAACACAAAACGTCCACCATTTGCAACATGTCTCCATAGAAATCGCGATATTCTCACGATTTTTCCACGTTTTTTCCTCGAAGGAAGGAAAATTCAAATTTTCGCGTTTGTTTCAAAACTCGAAGAGCTGACGAACTACCATCTTCGACAACCGATAACCGTTATCATATGAACAGTCATTGTGAAATTGTCTGTGGACAGCTTTCGAGAGTAATCGAAGTAAAATCCGCAAATCTTCTCTTCTTCGTAAGAATTCAACTGAAATTTCTACATCTAATTCGAAGAATAAATGAAATTTTGTATAAAATCGTTCGAATACTATGCGATACTTTTTCATTGAAAATATTACAACATAATTTTTCAAAGAAAGAAATTATTCTATTCTATTTACGCACAGATCAAATCTTCACTTCGATAATAACAGATCAAAATTTTCGACAATATTCCACGCCCAACAATGATGAAATACTGTAACACTCTGTATGTACTTACTTATTTAGTATATAAATTATTTTATATCAGGGTCAGATTGACCCTGTTTTAGATATTGAAACGATAAACAGGAGACTGATATTTTGATCTTGTCCCTCAACGATCACAATGGCGGTGGTCCGGATTGGCGGGAACTCGTAGTTTTTGAAATATTATTAGAAATATATCAGTACCGCGACGTTGCATTCTATCTGTACGTAAATATACGACCTCGTACGCAGACGCAGTCGGTGTGGTAACCGTTTCGCTCACCGCTCGGCTTTACACTAAAAAAAACAGACCGCAATGTAGATGCACTGATATATTTTTATTAATATTTAAAAAATTACGAGTTTCCGGCAATCCAGCTCACCGCCATTGTAATCCTTGACGCATAAGATGAAAATGTCGGGTCGAGAATTTATCTCGGGATCGGGTCGGGTTCCCGAATGTATTTCGTGATTCGAGATTGTCGGGATTCTCGAAAATTTCGAGATTCCCGAGAATTTCAGGATTCCCGAAAGTAGAACGAAACTATTATCGGAGAACGTTGAAAAACTAGCTTTTCTAGACGAAAATATGAAATAAATCATATCTATCACATATTTGCTTACCATTTTCATTCCATGTTCTATTTCTTATAATTTTATAATTCTCGAGAATCCCGAAATTTTCGAGAATCCCAAAATTTTCGAGAATCCCGAAATTCTCGAATTCTGAGATACGTTTGGGACCCGACCCGATCAGACCCGATCCGAGCATCGGGTTCCCGACATTTTCGAGTTTTCACACACCTCTAGTTAAAACACGTTCTCCTGCTTATTGTTTCAATAACTAAATTCGTGCTTTCTAATTGACTCTCCTTGTCCGTCAATTCTGTTCCGTAAAATTTCCGATACGTTTCACTATGTATATCCGAAGCAAAAAAGGCACACCATCACCGAGAATAATACCTTTTTTAAATAGTCCAATAGCAGACACTAAACGTGTTAATCCTGTGAATGTATGAATTGTCAGATATCCATTTGATAAGTGACTCTTTCATCGTGATAGAGAGTAGACTTTCGCCGAATCAGCAAAAAAAGAACAAACTACATATGTATATAGTCGTTCGTTAGCACATGTTATCCCTTGTACACGTTATCACCGTTCTACTGCGTCCACCCGCGACGAAATCTCGCTACTGATCTCTTTCGTTACGCAGGAAAGAAGTTAGATCGGTTGTTATCGAAGCTCGAGAACATTTCTGGCGGGAACGGTGTAATTGGTCGTTGCTAGTGACGTATTCTTATCGGGGAACACTGATACATTCTGGAAAGTTCGTACGATTGCATTCATCCATTTATTCGTTGACTGACCTGGGTGCAATTGAGATCAATTTCCCCTTTCTCCTCTTATTTCTTGCTTAAATCGGCCATCACTTCTCAACCTGCTTGTAATTTCTAAAGGGTTTACTGATTCACCTGTTTCACCAGATTTACCTTCTGGGCCTTGGTGTAATTAGAATCGGCTTATCTGTGTCTGATTGGTTTAGAGATACTGTAGATTTACTCAGGTGTAGTTCATACTAATTTTTATATAACGACTAATTCGGTCAGGTGTAATTTTGACTGATGTCGATAGGTGTAACTATTTAGTGTCTATTAACCTAGATATCATTCGTGTCACTAACCTAGCGAGGTGTAATTTTCATCAATTGTAATTGGTAATATTGGTGTGTTTTGTCATAGTAACTGTACAAGTACCGTGGAACAATTCATTTAGGTGCAATTTGCAGTGAGTGGTTTCGTCATTTTTATCGATTAATTTATACGATAAATTAAGCCACAATAGGTACGTGCATGCGTGTATACGTAAATATTAGTGTAGCGTTAATGTACAAGGCAAAAATAAGAGTTTCTAACAGGACGAAGTATTTTCTGTTACTCGTTGTCAGTAGTGGCCTGTTAATCAATAAGTATCTTACCTTTCATGTATGTCAGCCATTAGTAGGGTCAGTGGTTCAGTTATACAATGATAACACAATAATCACTGTGACAGTGTCGTTTAGCAAACGAAAGTTCTTCAAATTTCATGTTGTGCAGCAGAGATAAAACGTAGTTTAGAATACGTTTCGTAGGAGCAGCCAGTGGAATGTTAAGCACGTGTTTCCGCGCGGTTACTCCGTGAACTGTGCTGCAGTGGTGCCAATCTATGCATCTCGAATTGCTCCAAAAATAGGAACATCTGGAACATAGGGATGTTCCGCACTTTGGTAGATCTCTTGAATCCCAGATACACCTCTTGAAAGTGCAAATCAAATATTCGAGGAATGTTTAGAACATTATTTCGGGAGCGAAAATTATTTTTACTCGAGAACTTTTACTCGGGAAATTTTCTCCCTTGACGATATTTCAAAGTTGAGAATTCTGCAGTTTCCAAGTCTTTCGATCGCAATTTCAAGGAAATCGACAAACCGGTTTCCTCAATCACTCACGTAAAAACTAGTCTAGAAAGTGGTGAACACTGGAAAGGGTGACGAACACAGAAATGAGGCTATATTTTTTTAATAAAAATTTATTTCACATTATTTCTGACAAATCACGTCGCGCAAATATACCTATGGTACATGTTCAGTACAGACTCCAAATTGTGTATTTAGGCCATCGAGAAGTTACAGTACACGAATAAAATGGGAGGGGAAGAAAAATAATTATTTTTAGGTTACTCTCAGCCAGCAGTAATCATTTCACGAAATTGACCTTTTTTTTTCTTCAGGGTTGGAAATATGCCATTATAGACGTGTATTGCAGAAAAATTCGAGAAAATTCTGCTTGGGGGTAGTTGAAAATTTTTGTCTTTTTTGTTCTTTCAACGAAGGATTTCTACAACACCAGTCATAACAGCAAGAGCTCGTTTGGTACAGTTTATGCCTAGGAAGCTGACACATGGTTAGGCTTACACACGTAAATTCTTTGATATGACAGATTTCTCTGATCGATACATCGAGATAGTACATAGTGCTTTAATTTTTGTTCCGTCTTATTTCATTACATAAATCAAATTCTTTTGAACATTCAGAAAAATTGTGCGTAACTGTTGAGATAGAAAATAAAAATAGGAACTTATCTGTGAAATTGAATTTTCTGATGTGAGTGGTAATACTAACTCGATCTATCGGCAGATGGCCCTGTTGTTGGCTCCAACGTTAACGTCGATAAACACCTATCAACAGCTGGTCCTGCCAGCGACATCGAAATACTTTTTAACCTTATCAAGGTTCGTTTAACCTCGTCAAGACTCGCTCTATCAGCTTAAGATCAACTTTAATTGACTAATAATTAGACTTTTCTGGAAAAGTTTCACATCCATCACGATAGATACTATGCACGACGATTAGAATTCGTTTCTTTATATTTTTTTTTGCTTTTATAGTTCTCTTCAAAACCATGCGATGGTAACGTTCCAAAAATTTTCATTCCTTTTGAAAATTAGCAAAAGTGAATTTAAACATCCAAGAAATTGACTTAAAGGTATTCTTCAAGGAGAAATTTTGTATAAGTTTCAGAATGTCCCTTTATTTTTTTGTCCCGTTACTGCATTGGTTTTAAATTCTTATCTGTTGCAGGTATTTTCCTTCGTTTCTTTTTCTCCTTGTGAGTCACGTGTACGATAGCACGTGGCTCAACGCACATGTATTTAGGACTATGTGTAAACGAGTGACTGCATAATCGCGCTTACTTATGTATATACATGATGTTGTGTTGTACATCGCGTAGTACACTCGAAGTCTTCCGAGTATCGAGAGTTCCATATGAAGAAATATATTTTAGTTCCATATTAAGTAATATATTTTAGATAATTAAAATGAAATAAATTTCTTAGTGCATGTTTGTTGCTGAACGGAATAAAAATTCGAGTCGTCTAAAATATTCGACATCTATCGAAAATACTTGAGGAATTATAAAGATAAATGTAAAAACTAAATATAATTTGAGTGGGTCGAAACAAATTGTAAAAAAGAAAATAGTAAATGATAACTTCTTGCCCTGCGAGTATTTCATCGAAAAAACGAATACATAGAGGTTAGAGAAAATTGATCGAAATCATGGAGAACTTATTGTTAGTATTCGATACTCAGATATGTTCACGCGTGCAACCGAAAATGGGCGTTGTTTAGTTGATAAGACAGTCTCTACTATCAGGTCGAATTGCACGTTGCAGAAACGCATGTATTCTCTTATCTAAAATATTTAAAGAATATATTAATATACATATGTATAGAGGATGATTCTTCGATTTTCTTTTGTTCCTTTTTTTCTTAAAAACTCATTGAATGACGAAAAAAGAGAAATGTAAAAATAGTGAGTCTTTTCTTCTCGTTTCCAAACTGTGAATCGCTTTTCCTTCTTCTCTGTCTTCTTTTTTTTTTTTTTTTTTTTTTTTTTTTTTTCGATCCAGCCATGGTTTCGTTGTATCGAGCTTCTTTTGCCCCCTAACCTCTCTTCTTTTTCTTTCTCCTCTTTTTTTTTTTTTATTGACTAGAAGAACATGGACTCGTGAAGCAGACAGCCAGACGAAATAGTTGTTTATTTATAATTGGAAACTGACCTTTCATTTATGTTTAAATTAATTATAATTTTTCTTTCAAGTGTTACTCGAAATGCAACCTTCAATATTGACTCAGTGTTCGAATTTTTATTTTTCCAATAACAACATTCTATTGGACGATTAATTGAGCTTGGATATATTGACTACTTGTTGTTTCCAAACTTTGCAACAGTACAACCCTAATTTTCCATTTGGAAATTACTATTAACTCCCTGTTCAAATTGCAATTTTTTGCTATCGTGTTTCCGTGGAAAGAAAATTTCTACTTTCCATTGGAAAATTATTGAAATTCCAGACAGTTTAGGTTAGGTTTCCGTGGAAAGAATCATTTTCTGTGTTATCAATCGAAATGCAGGGATTAATTTCGCTGGCTGCTTCGAAGGACTCGTCTCTTAGAGTAGAATCGAAACATATAATCACACACAGAGCGCCGCCATCGCGGCTTAAGTACGAGGTTACTTTCCGGAAATGAGATATGGAAGATAGTTTGAGCTCCCTCACGATTTACTCGACTTTTGGAGATCGATTGAACCGTTGTCTGGGACGGCAGTCGATGATTGCATGACAGAGAAATTGATTAATTGGACGTTCTGCACAGTTTCTTCCTTTTTTTTTTTTCAAATTAGTTCACAGATAACCGGATAATCCGGATTCGTGGTAAAATACACCGAGTCCCTTTCAAAAATACCACAATATCATTGCAAACTCTCTCTACGAATAGAACAAGATCTTTCCTTTCGATTTTCATCTCATCTTTCGAAGCATACGTACAATTAGTCCTGAGCTTCGTTTCCATGAAATACGATTTTCTCTTCTTTGGAATTACTTTGAGTCGTTCAGAAAAATATTTCTCAATCTGAACGCTAAAGTAGATACATGTAGGTTCCTGTTTCACCGATGTGAATTTTAGGTTAGGTTATGATCATGGGTCACGTGATCCGTAGATCGTTCAAACAGTGGTGTTGTTGGGTGATCCAGGGGTGATAGTGTTGCCCTCACTGTTGTTGGAATTCGTTTTCACTTCGTTGCTGTTGGCGTTGCTGTTAGGGTAGGTTGGATCACGAGGACCGTCGAGGAAATAGGTGACCATGCTTCCCTTGCCTTTGACTTGAATGGTACCACGACAGGTGAGCGGATATCCTTTGGCGATCAGGATGTCACGAACCTCCTGGGTGACCTGAATCCCGTCCAAGACACCAGTTGACTCCATTCTCGAGGCCACGTTTACCGCGTTACCCCAGATGTCGTATTGCGGCTTTCGGGCGCCTATCACACCAGCGACGACCTACATGGAAACAGGACCAGAGGATTATCATTTTTCGTTTAATTTCCCGTCATGTGGATTATATTTCTTAATTTTCTGAAAAACAGCGATAGAATTTGACAAATTTTTCAAGGATCGAGAAACGATAGTTTCATGCAAATAGGTTAGGTAACCTAACCTTGTACTGTTTTTTTACATTAATTTTTTGCCACATGGAAATCAGATTTTTTGGGGATTTTATCTATTAATTTTTTGAAAAATATTGCTGAAGTTTGACGAAGTTTGAAGGGTAGAAAAATATAAATTTCATGAAAATAGGGCATAAGAACTTCTTTGTTCTAATCGTTTGTCTCTTGAAGTTCATCTCTTTTGTAAATTTTGTGAATATTGTGGAAGTTTGACTAAGATTGAAGCTTAACAAGGATAATATACAAGAATACATAAAAATAGGTGCAAAGGAATTTTTCCTTTAATCATTTTGCTTTTTTCCTTGCTACAACACAAATTTTTAACAATCGTGTTTTTCAACGTGCATTTCTCAGGTTTCACAAGGAAAGAGAAGGCTAGAAATTGATATCTAGTGTATTTGAAAATAGTACCTAAGGATTTTTTAAATTATTTTTGATTTTAATATTTCCTCGAACCTCCGACGTATACGCGATTCACTTTTGGGTTTGCTAAAGTGGTCAGGTAGGTGTTGCCACGGTTAGTACGAAATTGATTGACGTTACCGGTCCAATATTGATGCCCACACGCAGCCGGAAGTTATTGAAGCTGTGTTCATTAACCGAGGCCAGCTGCTCGCGTATCCTGAGAGCGTAGTCCGCCATCGCGGTCACATGCTTGTAATCTTTCATGTCGCAGGTGTTCTTCGTCAGTCCTGCGAAAATAAAATGGAAGAAACTTCCGCTAAGAATCTCCAACACTCAATTCTCACATTCCTGTACTATTTCTCTAAAGAATCTAAAAATTTAAAAATCACCAATCTTCCATTTTTCTCACTTTTAAAAATTAGTAACAGGTCTTAGGAGTTATTCACAAAGGTGCGACGATGCACGAAAATGTTAAAAAATATTCGAAACATTCTCGATACAAGAAGAAAAAAAATATTTCAAGAGTTCAGAATTGAAAAGATTTTTTACGTTTCTTTAACCATGCTCCCGTGAATAAGGCAGGCAAATTACCTTTTAAATAAGAGGAGAGGCGAAATTGAAAAAGGAAAAACAATTAATGGCGTGTATACACTCGTGGCGAATTTTAATCAGCGTGTCTCTTGTTGAAAAATGTGATCGAGAGTGGCTGAAGAGAAAAAGAGCGAGAAGAGGAAAGACTGGGGAGGACTGATGCTCACCGGATGCAGCCATGTAGGTGGCGCCAGTACTCTTGATCTTCTCGATGTATTTGTACTGCTCCTCGGCGAGCAGCTCGTCGAAATCAGCGATGATCTCGTTCAAAAGCCTGAGACACTCGACGCCCTCGTTATTCGCCTCAAGCTCCACGTAGAACTCGGAGAAATTCGGTATCGAGGCGAACATTATGCAAACGAAGTCACACTGCTCGTGGTACAGTTCCTGCGATCGTTAATTTCGTGGAAAATGTCGTTATTCAACGAGATCGAAGATTCGTTTCATTCGGCATTTCGGGAGATTGAGGAATTTTTCTCACGTTTGGAATAGGAATATTTTCAGAATTTTCGGGGAAATTTTGTTTTGAATATTTTCAAGAATTTGACGAACTGGAATTAGGTTTGTTAGATCTGGAAATTGGTAATATTGGAAATTAGAAGCTTAGTTTGAACAAATTGAAGATCCTAGATATTTCAGGAATGTCAAATTTTGAGAATCAGGATCTCGGATCCTGCAAATTTGCAATTTTAGAAATTACAATTAACAGATCTTACAATTCGGAGTCTTGGATATTCCAGGCTCTGAAAGTAGAAATTTCAGAAATTAGGCTTCTCTTACGTCGGAATTAACAGTGGAGAGGAAGTGCGCCGCCACGTGTTCCGGAAGTATGTTCGCCAGGAGTTTTTGATTGTAAGCCTTCAGGTGCTCCATTTCCTCTTTCTCCTCTGTAGCTTGAAGCTTCCATAAGAAATCCAATCTGTATTCATTGGTCGATTTTTTATTAGAAAAAGAAGAAAGAAATCATCTAAAGTCATAATCGTAAATTGAAAGAATAGATCACCTGTAAGTAGCTTCTGTGTGTTGAGAATGTGCGATTAGGCAGGTCATGAAGAATACCACTAGAACTCCAGCCAGCCATCTTCCAGTCAGTTCTACGTCCCTTTCGTTTACAGCTTCGTAAATACTGATGGCCAAATAGGTGGCCACCACTAAACTCAGTATGGCTACCTTGAACACCGAGGTTAGGATCTGATACACAGCGCAGGTTATCATGACCAGCATCACCAGCACTGGGAAAAGCTGCAATAACGAAAATTTAATTGATTAAACAACTCTCGTTGAAAAATCTTTTTCCTCTTTAAATTAGGATAAATAGGGATTCGCAGTCTGTTTTTCTACTGCTTCACTGGACACGAGATTGTCAATTTTCTAGGGATTTTGAGATTGTAGGCTCCAGAATTACCTAACCTAAAAATTTAGCAAGATGTTACAGGGTATTTCAGAAAATCTGAACACAATTTTGACAATTTAATAGATCTGATATATCCTTGTAACACAATGATGGATGCAACTATTTGATTTTTTTTTATTGATTATTTACTTATTCTACATTGCAATAAATTGAAAATTGTACAGGGCGATTAAAAAGAATTTGCCATCATTGGAAAACATATTTGTATACATCGTTCAAAATAAGAGTAACCTCGCTCTCGGACCGATTCTCGTCCGTTCTGCGCAGAGACAGAGAGCGTAGCAGAGGGTGAGACGGAGAAAAACGTAGGCGGTTAAATGGGGGGTTTGGACGTTCTAGCCCTGCCTTAGGCACGTCCCATGCGCGAAACGAGGTTACTCTTATTTTGAACGATGTACAGTATCGTAATTTTGGGAGAGAGTAGTTTTAAGAAAATGTGACGAGCATGAGAGAGAAAGCGGGCGACGAGCGACGATAGTCAGGCCCAACGGAAAAACCCCGGCGCCGAAGGGCCTGGCTATAAAGTACGGCGTGCGAGGGATCAGGTCACAGTGTGTTTGGAAAAGTCGAGAAGCGTGTGTCATAGTATTGTGGTGACTGATTTGCCGGCGATCGAGTCTGACACGCGTGGAGTGCGTCTGTGGCGCGTACCGACGCGGCGTGAGCGACTGTGGAGCGTGAGCGAAAAGCAAAGCGTAGAAGGGGCACGCGGGCCCCGGAACAAAAAGCAGTTGAAGATAGCGCGCCGAGGCTCGAGCTTGCCATGCGACAGTGTATACTTTTTTTTTCCTGACGAACTGATCCCACAGTATTATAGTTATTCTTATATTTCGTAAAATAAACATCTATTTATATTTCTGATTCCACATATTTAAGGCATGTAATGTACACATAACTGTGAGCCTTTTGTCGAAGAACGTTCCTCTGTAAGCAAAAATGTTTCTAATACTTCTGATCCATTGTCAAAATTCAATTACAAAATTCCCTTTTTACGCACAGAACGGAAGGGCTTAGAGCTGTTTCTATTAATTACGAATTCATTGCAACCACGAAGTGTCGTTCTCGTGCCACTAGAATGCAAGAGTAGCTTTCTGGCACATTTCGAGTTGATCTCGAGTTAATTCCCGGCAGTGCGCGGAGTGGCTATGCGAGTCGAATCGATCATCCAGGACTTACGTCAGCGAAGACGGTGTAATAGCAAACATCGACAGGCTTGTCGATAATGCGGTACATCACGCTGCCATTACCCGGCCATTCGTCGAACAATGTGCCATTGCTGCACACACGGCCACCTTCCAGCGTCAGCTGGAACCGGAACAGAGGGTCGATTTTGTATTTTTCAAACGTGCTATTAATATTTTCTTTCGATAATTTTCGTCCAAGATCAGTTTTTAATTATTAACTCACTTTTCTTTTCCGTGCAACGAGGATGAGGGATTTCGTAAGTTAGGTTTACAGATTTGTTATTTCAAGAATTTATTGGACATTTTGTGTATTGGTTGTTCGATAGAAATTACGGTTCAGAAGTTTGTTGTACGTTTAATGAATAATTTATATTTGGTGAACTCGTGTGGTTCACAATGTATATATTGGACATTACTTATTTAGTTCGTAATTTCCATGGGATATTTGTTGTTTATTTAGTACACAAGTTACATTGGAAATTTATCATTTATTTAGTGTTGCAAGTTACTTTGGAAATTTAATGTTCATTTATTATGCAATTTATATTGGGTTGGTTGAGGTGATAGGAACGAATGTATTCGTTAGTATTAATGCTATTATACATTTTGAGCTTACCAATGGCGATAGAGCTGTAACGAAAGTTAGGAATACGACGCACGTGGCTAGGGCCTGTGCAACTCCTCGATTTTCGAACACGTGTACTGCAAAGTCTCGAAAATATCGAGGCACCCTCTAGAACCAAAAAGAGAACATTTCGACATCCAGATGAAGAATCTAAAAAAATTTCAACCACCCTTGTATCCATTTTTTTTTTTTTGTATTCCAACTATAAAAAAATAATTTTGAAAAACTGCCTATGTTTCTCCTTTGTTAAAAATGTTATCTCGTTGAGAACGGTTAGTTCGTTTCGTGTGCTGGTTTTACGAACCGAAAAATTGTCGATACTGTAACGGAAAATCCAAAAAAAATTGGAGCCACCTTTGTTTCTATTAAAAAAAAATTTTTTCAAACGTATAAATTGAACACTATCGACGACGTGTTCGCGTGTTCCAGCTTTGAAAAATAATAAAAAGAGAAATCTATCGACGTTCCTCTTTCGGAAAAATATTTTTTTTTTTTTTTTTAGAAATTAATTTTCGCTGTATCAAAGGGTGGCTCATTTCGTGTGTCCAGAACACAATCGATGGCTTCGCCAGTGACCTGGAATCCCGCCACGAATTCAAGGTTAAGAGGAAGTGGCAAGATTCTAAAGAGTCTCTACGATCGATTCGCTCGCGTTGGAAATTGCTTGTAATATGCGAATTCGGTTGATCGAAGGACAAAGAGACTCACCTCGTTCTTCTCTGCCAATAGGACTCCATTGATCATTGCTATCAATAGGGTGCTCACTCCCACGCACGTGTAGAAGTATACACTCCTGAAAGAGGTTATTGTTTATTTTATTTTTCTGTTCAAATTTCCGTAATTTTACAGTGAAATTTTATTTATCGTGAAGTTTTTCTGTTTTGTTTTGCAGAAATTTATTTTAGTATCAAATATCTACCGTGCGAATTTATTGTGAAATTGCTGTTTTCCGTGTAAATTTATTTTAATACTACACACTTGGCGAATAGTTGGTATAAATATGAATATTTGAGATCTAGTTTCAGAGATCTAGATCTCGGTTAAAATAGATAGTAATTAATATCGATGTATTTGTTCTTTCGTTTAAAAATAATTAGTCTTTAACACGAGAAGGAAAAACGATATCGATTGAAGGAAAAAAAGAAAATACACGGTTTATCCAAACTGTGAGCTGGTTTACCCGTGCAGAGTGATTGCTATAGCAATCACGACCACCGTGTACACGAAGCCGGAACAGACAAAATATGCCGACAGCATCCTGTCCCTTTCCCTTGAGTACTGTAACAGATCGTTGGAAATTTTTTATCGCGATTAGAGCCTCGTGTGCGCTGAATAAGGAACAAGAGAAAACGCTTTTTAAAAAACGAATATTTCTTCTCGATGCCAGATCGAAATTTGTTTGATTAAAAATTTGTAGAAAGCAAATTGAATAAATTGATGTAACTTGCTAAATTATCAGAGAAATTTGGCTAATAGGGTAACTGATGAATTTGTTTTAGAAATATTCTTTTCAAAATAGTCGAATTACTTTTTTAGACGATACTGGACCAAATTTTACCTTCTCTTCGACGTCTGGACGTCGAAAGGTTAGGATAAAGGGGGTGCAATATTCTGCCCTCAGTTGATCTATGCTCCTGGCGTCTATTGCCCTCATCAGGTACTCGTTCACCTCGTCTTCAGGGTCCTTTTTAGCCTCTGCCGTCTCTCCGAAGCCCAATCTATTCGAGAATGAATCATTTCCAAAAAGACAGATAAAGTTTTCCGTATTAATATGGTAACTAGCATTTTAAAATCGTGTAATAAAATGAAATTTTAACAAATTTTACTCTTTCTAACTGAAATATTAAAGAAAACCTAAATAAGTGTGTTTTATCAATATTTGCAGTTAAACCCTTAAAATTACATACTAATATGGTAACCTCTCACCCAAGAATACATACCATAGTCTACACAAAGACTCACCGGGCTCTTTATGGGAAATTTAACTCCTCGAATCGTTTATACATCAACGCGAACAAATTTTGCAATAATCTTAATTTTGTTCGGGATTTCTTATCTATCGTTTAAGCACTCTGTTCTAACCGCTGTAAATAATCCTTATTTTACTCTTTGTCTTGCATGTTATTCTCTTATTTTTCTGTTTTCTCATTTTATTCTATTTTATCGTATTTCTTTTTCTCTTGTTTGATTTTCTTATTTATTTTGCACTGTACATTACGCTACTGCTCCGTGTGAATTTCAACGCCTGTATACTAAAGGGTTCTTAAACCCGTCGATTAACAATCAAATAAATAAATAAATAAACTAGTATTTTAAAATCGTGTTATAAAATGAAATTCTAACAAATTTTACTCTTTTTAACTGAAATATTAAACAAAACCTAAATTTTTCCTAATAAATAAAATCAATTGATTTATAAATATTCATTAAACTTTTAGTGATTCTCTTGGTTCCCGATTTCATCTCCAGAGTAAAAAAAAATTCTTACACTTGTTTAATGTTCTCGAATTACAATTGTGGTGCAACGATTGTATTATTCTCTGTAATTAGAGAGGATCCTGTGAGGGGTAGGTTTGATGTTTTGTGAAATTCTTTTCTCGTGTTTCGAGAAATGCATTACAGTTTGTTAAGCAATTGCGTCGTCGAAATGGATTTTCACGTTTGGTGAACATCTTTGGGACAAAAGATGGGGATGGGGAGGCGGAGATAAAATAATAGCCAGCGATAAAACGTTGAAACGAAGAGCGGATTTAAGAGGTAAATGGGTGTGAACAAAGAGAGAAAGACAAAGTATCGCATTATCTGAAATTAAGTTTGCCGTTGGAGCACTGTGGATGTAGCTGCACCGAAAATTTCGGTTATTAAAGTTTATAGGTTTTCACCGGGACGAGGATATCGAAGGTAGGAATTTCGATTGAAAGTGTAAATTAGGAATTTATGGGCATCGCAATTAAGGAGTATTGGATTTTGAGAATTTTGGAAATGTTCTGAGGAAAAATTGCGAGGCTTCGAATTTGGGATTTTTTGGATTGCAAGATTTGAAATTTTAGAGATCGAGAACCTGTGAAATTTTGTAGATTCCAAGATTAAGGCTGAAGCTCTCAAAAATTTGAAATCTCGAATTTCCACAATTGGAATTTTAAGAATTGAGACCATTGGTGTCCTCAAATTTGGAACTTTATAAATTAGACGCCTTAGATCTGAAAATTTGGGATTTTAGAAATTAGCATCTCAGGCTTCCAAATTGGGAATTTCAGAAACTAAGATTCCCAGATTTCGAAAAAGGAAAAATTTTTCATCTCAGAAACTGAAACCTTAAGTCTCAATATGGAAAATTTCAAATTTCACACTTTGGAATTTTTTTAAACGACAGTGTGCCATTCTCACTTGGTCTGTTTCCCATGCTGAGACCCATGTCCCATCATCCTCATTTCTTTGGACACGTTCCCATTGGCTGGCAAACCTTTTCTCAGTCCAGAGGAGGGTAATCTGCCCTTAAACGAGTCCCCAGGGACGATTAGGTATGTTTTGATATTGTGCTCCTTCAGGTACGCGTTCCTCTCACCCCCATGACCCTCTTCCACCTCGTAGTAACCACCAAGACAGTCCAGTGTCTCTTTCGTGATGTGTACTCGTCTATTGGGCAAACATAACATCGTAGTGACCGCCATATTGACCGCCATATTGACCGCCATATGCAACTTGTTAACCTTGCTCGTATTAAAGTTACATTGCACAGTATTTTGAAAGGTTTCGAGTATTGTTAATGGAGAGGAATATTTATTTAACAATACTTCATGGAGAATCGAATATTGAAAGAATTGTTTTTTAATTAAAATTGATAGGTTTGATGGGAAACCCCAACAAAAACCGCAGGAAGCTTTTTAAATTAAAATTGATCGGAATTGAACAGTGACGTAGAAATTAGAATTTTTGATAGAACAAGACTTACAAGCCGTTATAATTTACTTTTAGGAATAAACAAAATTTTGAACGACAATAATAATAAGTTGGGTAAAGTTGCCTAATATGAGACCCATTTCTTAAAGAAGTCATAACTGTCGACTAAGAACACTTTTATTAAAATTCGATACATGTTTTAAAAGTATGATATGTGTTCTTTTGTAAGGTACTGGAATGTACGGTAATGAAAATTCGGTTCCTTCGTAATAAAATAAAAACGAAAATTATGCAAATATACAGATTTAAAAAATGGGTTCCTGATATGAGAAAACTATATTTTCTGTCTTTTCTCACACATTGGGCATATTAAATCTGTTTCTTCAGCACCGCAGACTTCGTGGGCACACTTTGTACACTAAAACAAAATTGGGTACCTAATAACACGATAGCTGTTAAGTAGCTTCGAGATTAAGTCTTCGTTATTTAACGATACGCAACTAGTAAGCCTTAAACTCCATTGCATGCACTATACAACGGTATTTATGAAAATGTTTAAAAACTTACTATTTTCGAGGTATTTGTAATTTAATCGAACCACTTGAAAAACTTTCTGCAACGTATTGCACAGATATGCTTGTTGAAGACGTTTGATTGATTTAAATCAAATTTGATAATTAACGCGGTTAATTACGAAACAAAACAGCATCGCTACGACATTCAAGAGTTCTGCAACGGAGATATGCTGGGGTCTCATATTAGGCTACTTTACCCTACCTCGTTTTTTCAATTTTTCCAAGTCATTTACAAAAACAAAAAATTCTGGTCTACAGAATAATTATTCTTCCAATTTTCTTTAACCTGTACCTTTTTTCTAAATTCTCAAAATTTTCTTAGTTAAGAAATAGCGGTTTTTTCTTTACTTAATCGTCTGAATCGGAAAAGAAGATTTTTAGTGTCTGTCTAACTTGCATATTTCTTTTAGATTCAATTTTTTCTCAAAAAAGGGAAGGGCCAAACTCACCCTGGTATTCCTCCACTCTCCATGTAATTGGCCAGAGTGACGTCGTTGCTCCAGACGTCGAACTGCCACTTCCTTAGTCCAAGAACCCCGCAATGCACCCTTCCAGTGTGTATCCCTACTCGCATGTTCACGTTCACTGCCCCTACCTCTCGGTACAACCTTCAAAAATCAGGGTCGATTGTCTAGGAAACTATTGTCAAGATTATACCTCGATCGAGACAAAGTTAAACACTACGAACGAAATTTCACTGAGATATTATTCCGTTTAAGAACACCCTTACACACGTATTCTTGATTTACCTCGTTTTATACTTTTCAACATTTCAAGAATATCTTTTCAGTCCGACAAACTTAAAGTGAAGCCTCTGACGTTACAGTCTAGCAAAATGGTGGCAAAATAGGCGGTTCAGGTCATCCCCACTACTCTTGGGCCTTACACTGCAGGCGCTGGAGGGGAAGTTGCGTTGTAGGTAAATGGTTTGGACAAACGAATTTCAGTCAGCTGTCGATAATGTAACACGCTGATGAAAGAACGGAAAACTAAAAATTATTTGGTCGCCTTATCCTCTTACCTACGTTGGCGCGTAAGACATTTAATAGCGCAGACGTTAATTCCTAAGCGACTCATACACGATAAATTGTTATTGTAAAGGAAGCCTCAGGAAATGTATTAGTATTTTTTAACAGTTAGAAAACTGAAATGTAAATATTTTTTTCCTATTCCTGAATAATAAAAGTAGATTTCGGCGCATTAAAAACTTGCTTAAGGAGCTAAAACTTTCTGGCTGCAATGAAAAATAGCGTGCCACCACAGACCGACAGCCACTATTCAATGTTAAAATTTTGAAAAATTTGACAAAATCAGACGACATGTCGTCACTTTAACCGTAATATTTCGGCTTTGTTTAAAGATAATATTTCGACCTTG